AAATTTTTTTTGTATGTTATAGAACTAATGTACCTTTTTAATATTTTTTTAATATTATCTAGTTTATGAAGTATAATGATAAAAAAGGCATTGCTAAACCGTGCATTATATCAAATATCTATAAAAGGTATATTTAGATAAAGATCTTTTCTCAAGATCAATTTTCCAGATCTGCTAAGCCAATTCGGAAGATAATTTTTATAGAAATATTGAATGATGCCGTAATTCATTTCTTTGATGATTCTATTAGAATTTTTTACTTTTGACAATGAAGCGATTATTTGAGGCTGTGATTATTAGATGTAAGAAACAATTCTAGAGATTATTTATTATCGAACGAAAATAGATTCTTAATGATTTATATCTAAATTTTTATAGAAATATTGAATGATGCCGTAATTCATTTCTTGATGATTCTATTGGAATTTTTTACTTTTGACAATGAAGCGATTATTTGAGGCTGTGATTATTAGATGTAAGAAACAACTTTAGAGATTATTTATTATCGAACGATAATAGATGTCTTAAAGATTTATATCTAAATTTATGATCGCGAAAAAGTATATAAATCCCCTCGATCTCTCCTCCAATTTCCTCACTTCACTCAAACAATAAAAACCAAATAAAACAAAAAGTAATAAACACCAATAATAAACAATTAGACATAATGAAGTACCTTTCCTTAGTAGCCATCCTCGTCTTCGCTGCTGCTGCCGTCGCCAGACCCACCCCCAGTCAAGGTTCTTTAAATTTTTTTGCAACTTTGTAATGTCTTGTTAGCTTTTAGTTTTTAACTCTTTTATTTTTATCTACATTATTAGAAAAACGTCTTGCTGCACCTGCACAAGGTATGCAACATTTCTTTTTCCTTTTTTAAGACTTTATAATACTTAAATAATTTTTCTTTCACCGTTTCTCTAGAAAAACGTAATGCCCGTATGTAATTTTTATCATTCTTTTGCAAGATTTTAAATTTAAATTCGATTCGGTTTAATTCTAAGAATTATCTTTATTATATTCACTAGACAAGCGTGCTCCTACTCAACGTATGGAATTTTTTTATTTCAAACATTGCATATTCGAATTTAATTACTAATTTTTGTTAATTATTTTTAATTAGAAAAACGCAAAGCTTTAAGTATGTAAT